TTTTTTTTTTTTTTTTTTTTTTGTGTGGACAATATATGTGTCACATGTAATTTGGAAACCTGTTTGTATGCATGCCAAATATATGTGAAAAGTCTTGTGACACGACAAGGCGTCGGTAAAACATAGGCTTTGAGTTCTCTGCAAGAAATTCCTACCACTTTGGCACTATGCATGGAACGGAATATATGGCCTGCTTTTCTTTGTGTTGTTCTAGTAATAAAGACCACATTCTACAAGCGCTCATGTGTTTTGCCTAACTTTGTAGGGTCATCGAATTCAACCCATCTTGTTTTTAAACACCATCCATACATCTATTCCCAAAATGCAAGGTCAATTCCTAAGGCCTAGCGAAACTAGAATCTATGGAGGAGAAAAAAACCATGAAAGTTGAATTTCTTTTAGACCAAAAGGCACCTATGCAGAAGAGATGGGGCTACATGACATATGAAAGAGCCTACGCATTGGCAAAAGAGAATCTCTCCCCTTCTTTTTTTTCTCTCTTCTCTTTTCTCTTGGTGGCTTTGAGAGCAACGACTCGTTCACTATAAAACTGCCAAGTGACTAGCATCCAGTCTTGTTACCTTCGCTTCCTGTCATCTCTTTCTGTCAATTTTCTTTTTGTCACCCTACTTCTGATTCGTTACGCCTCTATGGAAGACGATGAGTATGTTCCGGTGGAAGCCAAGGATTTTTATAAGCGATATAGTGCACGAGCGTTGTCACCAGAGATTGTGGAGGTAAAAGAGGAGATAGAAGAGGAGATAGAAGAGGAGAGCAAAGAAGAGGAGATAGAAGGGGAGATAGAAGAGGAGGTAAAAGAGGAGAGCAAAGAAGAGGAGATAGAAGAGGAGATAGAGGAGGAGAGCAAAGAAGAGGAGATAGAAGGGGAGATAGAAGAGGAGATAGAAGAGGAGAGCAAGAGTTGTAGTACCGCTGCGGGCGGCACTAGCATAGATAGAGTTTTCAAGGATGTATATGTTGCTGTTGGTAAAGATGACACAGATGTTCTGAAATGGACGCTTGATAATGCTGTTTCCCCTGGCACTCGGGTTTTTCTAGTCCATGTCTTCCCTCCAATCACCTACATCCCTACACCTGGTAACACCAATGTACTTGTTCATGTTTCTTTGTGTGTTATATATATGGGATTCTGATCAGATCAGAGTCAGACACATCAAATTGATTTTGAGGGTTTTGATCAGTGATCAAACACATCATGTTTACAAATTGTTTTTTTGACCAAGTTCTTGTTTCTGCAGTCTAGTCTAATCTGTATCAGACTGGATGGTTGTGTTTGCTTCACATGTGCTCTGTTATAAGCTTATAAGAATTGAATTGGTATCACAAAGATATGAAAGGGGTTTACTTTAATATTTTGCAACTTTTGTATGTTGAAGTATCAAATCCTAAGCAATTTTCTTTTCTTTTTTCTCTTTGTGAAATGCTGAGTAGTTGGGAGATTAGCAAAGAGCCAATTGACTGACGATCAAGTGAGATTATACATTAATGAAGAGAGTAACAAGAGGAGGAACCTGTTGCAGAAATATGTGAGCTTGTGCAATGATGCTAAGGTGTGCATTTTACTCTTCCCCCCCACCCACCAGAGCATATGTTGCCAAAAACCAATATATAATTTCAATTTGTCTAATGATGAATGAAAACTTGTGGTTTTCATGTGACTGCAGGTAACAGTGGAGACAATGCTCCTTGATAGCAAGGACACAGCAAAAGCAATTCTTGATCTCATACCTGTTCTTTGCATCATCCACCTTGTCATAGGAACCAAAAGACCACCTCACTCAAGGTATGTTTGCCCGTTTTCTTTTGTTCCACCAACATGAAATTCGGCCATTTGTACCACATTTACTGACGACATACATTGTTAATCACATTAAGTAGATCTCACGTTTCACAAGAGATGCGATTCACAATGTGTTCGATAAGTCTGTTACATGCACAGCAGTGAACTTGGCATTTAACTAACATGGTCAAATTCATGTTGTTCAGGCTAGTGCGGAAAAAATTGTCATTAGGAGAGTTTGTTAGGAAGAATGCGCCGGACTTTTGTGAGGTTAGCATTGTTCATGAAGGCAAGAAGGTGGAGGCCGATCAGCATGTAAATGGCCAGATCACGCCGGCAAATACTCGCCACCCTGAAAGAAGCTTCTTCGCATGCTTTCCAGGCAAGTTCAATTCAGATGCATAAACACTCTCTACTTTTTTTTTTAATATGCAGTTCTTTTTTCTTTTAAAGGGATTTATATATACAGATTACGTACATTACTCAGAAACATTTTGATAGACAGTGCGCTGGAAGACCAAGATTTCTTAAGCAGCAGCAACAGCAAAAGCGGTGACAGAGATGATCAAACTAACTCAGTTATGCACTGTGTAAAATGGGAGGGCCAAAGACTCAAGTTTATGACAGAGATGAAATGGGAAGGTAGAAGACTGGCAAGCTGAAGATGCAGAACAGGACCTGTTAGTTAACAATAATTATAACCCCATATTTGGTTGTTAATTAGATGAAGAATTAGAATTAATAATGCAGAAGACGGAAGATTGAAGATGGAAGGAAAAGCAAGGGAGGGTTTCAAGTTTATGAAACAATCCCAAGTCCCAACAACTCAATGTGGGGGGGACAGTATTTTTATGGGGAAAGAGTCGAAGAGGGTCTAATTATAACAAACATAAAAGAAATTATGTAGGAATGAAATGAGTTCATATTTTTTTTCATGTTGGATATTTATTATGAGACAATCATTTCTATCTTCTCCTAAGTATATATATAATCGATTGGTTTTAAGAAATTCACAATTCTAGAAAATTCTTCACCTTCATCCTCACTTGTATGTATTTCTGTAAATAATTTTTGAAATTGAAATTAAATTAAATACATACAAATGAGGTTGAAGGGGATGAATTCTCTAGAAGGGTGAAATTCTCAGAAACGATCAACTATAGTTGAATACCTTTTATCAATTGGGAATTGCAGAATGAGTAGAGGAATATAGCCAATATTAATGGCTAAATCATATGAATTGCATGTGAACCCTAGAAATCCTGAGAGATGTGCGCCTCAAGTCTACGGTTCCCAAAATGCCACGAGTCCTTGAATAAAATTGAGATATTCACCTAAGAGCATCTCCAAACGAGTAGTTAAATCCTATATGGATTTGAAGGCTGGAAGAGATATGTCAAAAATAACATATCAAAAAGCTTGATGTCAAATATTATGTTAATATTTTTTTATTCATGAACCCCACTATCATTTACTCTCTTTTAAAACTTTATGCATCGTATAAGACCTATTTATTTTTTAAAATATAATAAAATAATATGATATTTGGCATTTGGCATTTGGCATTTTTAACATTTTCCATTTGACATCTCTTGAAGATGCGCTAAGGGAGATGTCAAATACCAAACATCAAATTTAAATTTGATGGCTGATGTGGCAATTTGACATCTTACACAACTTTACACTCCACCCGATATGTCAAATTAAATTATTATTTTATTACATTTTAGTGTTAATTTATTTTTAATTAAAAAGAATAGAAAAGAAAAAATAATAAAATATTCATTTGACATCTTGCTTTTGGGATGTCAAAAATAACATCTCAACCTCCAGTCTTCATTCCACATTAGCTTTGACACATCGGTTGGAGAGTGTGAGATGTTATTTCTAGTCGTTAAATGTCTATGTGGCACTTTTGACATAGCTCTAGATGTGTCAAAAGTGCCACATAGACATTTAACGGCTAGAAATAACATCTCACATGACTCCAACCGATGTGTCAAAGCTTATGTGGAATGAAGGCTGGAGGTTGAGATGTTATTTTTGACATCCCAAAAGCAAGATGTCAAATGAATATTTTATTATTTTTTCTTTTCTATTCTTTTTAATTAAAAATAAATTAACACTAAAATGTAATAAAATAATAATTTAATTTGACATATCGGGTGGAGTGTAAAGTTGTGTAAGATGTCAAATTGCCACATCAGCCATCAAATTTAAATTTGATGTTTGGTATTTGACATCTCCAACTCTAAGAAAGTATCAATTTTTAGACCGACACTTGAAAAAATATCTTCACAAAGTATAATTTCCCTCCGTCAAAACAACAACCCATAAATAGATGAGATGGGAGTACTTCCATCCTCCCAGACCGCGTTTTTTCCATACTTAAAACAAAAACTAGATCTCCGGCAAAACAAAAAAACACCACTGCAAACGCAAACCGAAACTCAAATCTAATCAAATTCCAATTTGATCCCTTTTTAGGGTTTTCTTTTTCTTCTTCGTTTGGTTTTCTTCTTCGAAACCCTAACAGATCGCAAACCCTAGAACAGTAGCAGAACCATTGTAATTCCATCATTGATGTACGCCTACGACAACAGATACACCGACGTCAACTCCTACCGTGAGCGCCGAAGGTACTACCCTAACTCAATTCCATTGTTTTTCATATCCCTGTTTTGGTTCATTTCTTTTTCTTTTAGAATTTTCGTAATTTATGTTCGATTATGTAATTGTCTATTTTGCAGTGACCTAATGGGTCCAGCGCCTGCGGTGGCTCCGCCAGCGGGCCCCGCCTATGGCCGCGGCGGTGGGGCAGCCCCGTATGCGGGCCCAACGCCTCCGGTCGCCCCGTATTCGGGACAAGTAGCTGGACCGGTAACCGGTCCAGGAGATTTTAATGGGTACCCGCCGTTCCAGCCCCCTTCGGGTCGGTTCAATATTGGGCGAGGTGGTGGTAATGGGAGTTTTGGTGGCAGAGCCTCCAATGGTCATATTGGTGGTGGAAGGGGCCGTGGCGGTGGTAGGGATTTTGATCGAGGCCGTGGCGGTGGCGGTGGCGGTAGGAGCTCTGGTTTTAGCCGCGGTGGAAGTGCGGGTTTTAGCGGTGGGCGTGGATTTGGTGGAAGAGGAGGAGGTAGACATGGTGGGTCATCAAGAGGAGACTTGGATAACATTGTGCTTCCCAAGCAAGATTTTGGGAGATTGGTACCTTTTGAGAAGAATTTCTATGTTGAGAGCTCTTCGGTGAGGGCAATGTCAGAGCAGGAGGTTATGGTGTATCGCAACAGGCGGGAGATTACTGTCGAAGGGCATGATATCCCAAAGCCGATTCAGATGTTTGAGGATGCGAATTTCCCTGGTATTGCCTTGCTGATAAATGCTGTTGAGTATTTTGTTGTTGCTAATGTAGAGGTATTTTTTTGTTTGTGCTAGTAGCTAATTTTGGTGTAATTTGATGTGCTAGATTACTGCCTTGATGCTATTGCAAAATTGGGTTTTGTTGAACCAACACCAATTCAGGCCCAAGGATGGCCAATGGCATTAAAGGGTAGAGATTTAGTTGGAATTGCCGAGACTGGTTCTGGTAAGACTTTGTCCTATCTGCTGCCAGCTTTGGTGCATATTAGCGCACAGCCTCGGTTAGGTCAGTATTACTTACCCTTTCTGTTCAGGTCCCACTTTCTGTCTCCCTGCAATCGACACTGAGTTTGGTTATTCTTTTGTTAAAAACATTCAGTGCCAGGTGAAGGTCCTATTGTGCTAGTATTAGCACCTACTCGAGAATTGGCAGTTCAAATTCAAGAAGAATCTTCAAAATTTGGCTCACGTTCTAATATTAGGAGTACTTGCATTTATGGTGGTGCTCCAAAAGGACCCCAGATACGGGATCTTAAAAGAGGTACTTGTTAATTATTCAGTTCCTTTTGTGAGTTAATAAATGGCAGCCTAGATATGGTAACGGCCTAACTTCTACCATGTGGCAGGGGTTGAGATTGTCATAGCTACACCTGGCCGACTGATAGATATGTTGGAAGCACAGCACACAAATTTGCGAAGAGTGACCTACCTAGTTTTGGATGAGGCTGACAGGATGTTGGACATGGGATTTGAGCCTCAGATAAGGAAAATTGTATCACAAGTACGTTACTTTTACATCATTTATTCTGCTTCGCTGATAACTGCTAAAAATGATATTTTCTTTTTGTTCAAAGATCTAACAAAATAATAAATACAACCGTTAACTGCTTCAGAATGGTTTGTATGGAATTTTATAAATATTATATGATGGACTTACCTGATGTGCTTGACCAGTGATTGTTGTTACTTGAGAGACTTTATACATCTGTTCTTCATTTGACGTGTATCTCTCTGCTAACAAGTTTTTGATGTAAATACAAATTAGGCCGCCAATGTTGACACATTTCAGTGTTCTAAAGTATAGCTTAGGAAGTGTATTTAATCAAGGTTAATTTTCTTACAGACCCGACCAGATCGGCAGACATTGTATTGGAGTGCCACGTGGCCAAGGGAGGTTGAAACTTTAGCAAGGCAGTTTTTACGTAACCCATATAAGGTTTCTTTTACCCCATATTAATATGATATTTTAGCTTGCTTGTGCAGATATACGTCTATTTGAATTGAGACATAACGATCTGATATGAATTGTTTTATTTTTAGGTAATCATTGGATCAGCAAGTCTTAAAGCAAATCAATCTATAAAACAAGTTATTGAAGTTGTGTCAGATGGGGAGAAATATAATAGGTCTGTCTCTTGAGCTCGACTTCTGAATACAGGAAAAGGTTGATGTTTTTGATTTGTGGTTAAATGCTTCAAATTGTTTTGTTGGCAGGCTGATCAAACTGCTCAAAGAAGCAATCGTTGGGAGCCGAATTCTGATATTTGTCGAGACGAAAAAAGGATGTGACCAAGTTACTAAGCAATTGAGGATGGATGGATGGCCAGCTCTATCCATTCACGGTGATAAAAACCAGGCCGAAAGGGACTGGGTCTTGGCTGAGTTTAAAAGTGGAAGGAATCCTATAATGACTGCCACTGATGTGGCTGCGCGGGGTCTTGGTAGGATAACTGTGTGCTAGGATTCTTAGGTGTCATATAAATTTAGGTCTTGAATTTCAAAGATGGCGAGTCGGCCGGCTGCTGTCCAGTTCCTGAGAATATAATTTGTGGTTTGGGTATGAAGGCAGGTGCCATCATTTGTGATGATTGGGACTGTTTATCTTTTCCTATCCTTCTCTAAGCATCATACTTTCTGCTTCACCAAGGGAAGTTGGATTGAGGGGCAATATTGGTATCTCCTACTTGTACAATGTCCCCTGTGATAGAAAACTCTTTGGATACTACCTTATTCTGAAAGCTCATGTTACATGGACACCAGGAGCTAGGTTTCACTGGAATGGCTCGGGTAACTTCCTAATATTGTTTGGGTGGTATGCCATATTATTGTATGCAAGCCATTCTGTTTTTATTGGTCCGGAAAGTCGTGCATATTGTTTTGTATACATGGGGCAGTTGATATTCGTATGGCTATCTCTAAAAGGATAGTTGTCAATTGTTTGCACTAGAGGTTCCTAAAATGGCTTGGCTCCTCCTTTCAAGTGTCTAAGTAACATGGTTGAAGTTTATTGGCCCCCATCCACAGTTATGGAGCTGGTTATCCTCGCAGCCCGGTTGACTCACACATGCTTGTTCATTTGATTGGATATGGGAAGTGATGGTAGTGAAGCTGCTCCTTATCCCTGCTAGGTTAAGGTGGGCACATTTACGTGATGAATGTGTTGTCTTTAATTTGATCTTCAGATCTCAGGGGTGCAGGGATAAGGTTGTTTGCAGTTTTCTCCATGTTTTTTCCCTTGCACATCATTTGGCCTAACTTCTGTTTTGTTTGTTGTAGATGTGAAGGACATAAAATGTGTGATCAATTATGATTTTCCATCAAGCCTAGAGGATTATGTCCACAGAATTGGACGAACTGGTCGTGCAGGGGCAACAGGAACTGCTTTAACCTTTTTCACACACGCAAATGCGAAATTTGCTAGGGAACTAATCAAGATCCTGCAAGAAGCAGGTCAGGTGGTGAGCCCCGCATTGGCTGCAATGTCCCGGTCAAGTGGTAGTTTCGGAGGTAGTTCCACTCTTCTGGATATGGTGGCATATATGTGCCAATTTGTTGGGTTGGTGAATAATTTTGTTTTTTGTTTTTTGTTTTCAAGCAGGCTCTGGAGGGAACTTCCGGAATAGAGGGCGAGGAGGAGGATTTGGGAACCGGATTTCGGGTTCAAATACTGTTCCTATTGGTTACAAGAGACCTTGGTAGAGTCTCTGTATTGCAGCTCAGCTGGCTAACGTATTTACTTCGGTTTGAAACAAGAAAGACAAGAGTGTATTGGAAACATGCTATTTTTAGAGTTATCCTAATGATATGATTTAATTTTATACATTGGAAATTTGTTTCGCTATACCAATTAGTTTTCTTGTCAGTTCTTCTAAGATAACATGAGACGAGTTATGAGCAAACTCAATCATGTCAGCAAAGAATTAAAGTTCACAATTAAGTTGTATTTTTGTCCAATGGGCCTTCATAGCCCAAAATGAAAAGGTTCTCCGTTGTTATGAGCAAACTCTTTAAACTATAACAGCCAGCCCAATTCAGCTCCCTGATAATATCCCCTAAAACCCAAATTTCTGAACAATACTCAGGCTGGAAAAGGCATTTAGGGTTTGAATTTGAGAATTTTGCTAGCGTCAGTAGCTCATGCACTCCCAATACATGTATCACACGGACGTGGGCGAGTGGCTGAAGTAACATTGTTCTTGTGTATCACGTACGTGGGCGAGTGACTGATGTAGCATTGTTCACGTACGTGGGCGAGTGACTGAGTGAATGAATATGAATGGAGCTTTGTGTTCAATTATTGAAGTTGAAAGGAGAACAATGACTTTAATTGGATATTACTAGCGCATTGTCCTCTAATAGTAGATGGATATGGTGGGATGGGGTCTGGTCTATTTGAATTTTCAACGTTTGGAAATGGTTAAAAAGCAATGACAACGACAACAATGCCTTTTGGCTTAAGCTTTGTGGCAGAAAATAAAAGAGCACACCAACTCTCCTGTGGACTTTAGAGCCTGGCACTGGCTGGACCAATATGTCTCCATCCAAACATGGTGCCACTTCCTTGAGAGTTCAGAAAGAGATAGGTAGGTAGGTAGGTAGGTTTTGTGTTTGTATTCCAAATAGGCTTTTTATCACAAATGATCCTTGATGTTTACGAAATTATCACGAATGATCCTTGAGGTTTTTTTGTGACACTAATAGTCCTTAACGTTTGGACTTTTTATCACAAATGGTATTTGCCGTCAAAAATTCTGTTAAGTGTATGATGTGGAAGATAAGTGGAGCCCACATGTACAATCACATCGTGATATGTGGATTAAATAAATAAATAATTTTTTTTTTTTTTATGAAAATCCATTAAAAAACCACTTAGAGAGTAGATAGAGAGAGAGAGAGAGAGAGAGAGGCTAAATGGTTTTTTAATGGATTTTCATTAAAATTATATATATATATATTTAATCCACATGTCACGATGTGATTGTACATGTGGGCTCCACTTATCTTCCACATCATACACTTAATGGAATTTTTGACGGCAAAGACCATTTGTGATAAAAAGTCCAAACGTTAAGGATTATTAGTGTCACAAAAAAAACCTCAAGGACCATTCGTGATAATTTCGTAAACATCAAGGACCATTTGTGATAAAAAGCCTTCCAAATATTTCTAATAATTCCTTGTTTTCTTCACAAATTGCACCTCAAATTTATACGTATGTCATATATATACCCTATAAATCAGGGAGCTTCTTCATTTAGAATTTGAAGTCAACGATTGGTTAAGGATTTCTAATCTCAACCATTGATTAAATGTGTTACATGCAATCCAACGACTGAGATTAGAAATCCGTAATAAATCATTAACATAAAATATTTAATAAAGCATTTCCCCAGCCAGAGTACCAAACAGTAGCTTCACTTTATAGCTATAATCTTCGCGATTCAAATATCGCATTAAGCGATTTCGTCTTCTTAATATAGGGTTTGTATTAAAGAAAAATTGTGTAAGATAAGAGTGAATTAATGGCTAATTTTTAGAGTAAAAGAGGAAAACTAATTTGTATATGCCTATGCTGGGTTGCTGCTCGCACGTCAACTTATTATGCTTTTGTAGAGTCCACGCAGCTGCTGCTAGTTCCTTCCTAATGCTGAGGGCCCCTGTCTCCCAAGTGCTTGCTTATATAGATTCTGTGTTTTTCCTCTCAGTGGTAGGTGGAAAGGTCCATCCATGGTATATATGCTCATGCAATGCAATATAAGTGGAAAGCCATATATACATATATACATCTCCATATATCTATCCATCATCTATAGTGGGTTTCTTTTTCCAACTCAAACCCTAATGGTATAATGGTATTGGTAGGGTCCACCATGGATAATTATGAGCTGGACAACTTTTCATATTACCAGTGTGTGGTGGTGAGATTATTATTATTATTCAATAATAAAATCAGAAAAATAGATGGAAAGGTGGTTTTCTGCTCCTTTGGATCATTGCCCTGATAAGCCAAGTTGCTCATTTTGGAGTCATTTGGTTGCAGAAGAAACCAGCGGCAATGTAATTTTGTCCATCGCATCATCAAACTGTGACCATCTAATCATAAATTAAATAAAAAGCAAAAAAAGAAAACATGACATGACCATCTTTAGTGGAGAGTGGAAGCAAAAAAACACTGTAAAAGGAAAGTGGGAGAGACCCCAGTTTCAGTCTTCATTTTGTTTGTTTCCACAATTCCACTCTGGAGTGCTACCCTCTTTCCCCTCCTATTCCTTCCTATATATGAAAACGAAAAGTAATGTCTTTATCTGGAACGCATCTACCTCTTCTTTCTGTCAAGGGAGGTGATGTGATGCTCCCAAACACATGGGTTTAGGACAAATGTTGTTCATAACTTATTGTTAATCTTGAACACGGATGCATGTGCAAGGATTTGGTTAATATGATATCCGAGCTTTCTTTTATAAGTGTGTTCGATTCTCGGTCTCCACTTCTTTGTTATATGACTCTGGTTTTTCCCCTATATCAATTTGATAAACAACGAAAACCAAATACAAAATTAAAACAATAAATTAATATAATGCACGAGACTCAACTCACAAACGTCATCGATCTTTGATTAGTGGTTCAAATAATAGAATTGAAAATACGTGTGACTGCAATATCAGGGGCTTAAAACAAATTTTGCTTCGGGCAGATCTATAAAAAGTTAAAATAAATAATTAAAACATGTATAATAATACCATTTAGTTATTGAATAATATATGTAATATGGGTGTTTGTACTTTGTGGGGGTGGAGGTAGGTGGGGAAGCTGACTCAGGTGAGCATATATCTCAAGTGGATGTCTACTAAGCACCACCTAATCAAGAATATACGTCCTAAATTAATAAAGTTGACCATATTATTGAATTAATTAGTATTTGATTAGACAAGTAAACGGATGATTAGATACGTTTGACAATCTTTCTCACCTTCACTTTCATTTCATGCATGCATTCCACAAGACCAGCACTAATTTATAATATAAAATAATAAATAGGATCATCTTCTTCTTGGATCGATTGTGGTAAAACCTAAAGAACATATCTATGATACTTCCCTTATCCCATGTATGGAAGAAGATACTCCTCCTTCTTCTTGTAAACTAGTTTGACACAAATACAAAAATAATTAATGAGCAGAAATGTAGAAGTTCTTACTTATGAGGAAAAAATGAAGTATTTTCGTAAAAAGAATAATTTAGTTTTTGGATTTTTGAGTCAGTCAACAAAAAGGAAGATAAATATTGGCCAAAAACTAAAGGAAAATAATAATAATTTAGGACGGGTAACTGGGTCCTCTCCCTCCTCTCCTCCGTCCAGAGTAGAACTTGGGCCATTCTCAACTCACTCAAAATCCCATATATCATCAACTCATGAATCATGTCCTTCTTTCACTTTGTACCATATATATATAACACGATGTGCAGCCTTAAAGGGAAGCACTTATACAAAACAAGAAAATTGGACGGCTGTCTGGCCTTCCATCCCTCACCATTGATTCAAAACAATCGTATAGCAAAGGACTTGTGGTTCGAGTTAACACATTTTATAGGTATATTGTGAAAATAATTGTATGGTAAGGATTGTCGTTTGAGTTAACCTCTACACTCGATGTCATTAAATGTCACGACATTACTTTACAATTACATGAATACTTCAACAAAACTAATAATGTGTAAAATTTTAATTTATGTTTTGATTAGGTCTTCTTAAGTTAGTAGATTCTGATCCAACTCTACCAATTCCAATTTTGGTATTCAACATTTTGTAAACCAACGATTCGATCAAGAAAAAGATACATTGCCGTGGACATAAATAACTTTTGATTTTCATCTGAATCGAAGTTTCAAGTTGTAAACTAATCTTCAACCCTTTTTTCTCTTTATCTGTTTTCTTCTCCATGAAAAAAGGGTTGAAGATTAGTTTAAAATTATCTGGTTGAGATCCTGAAAAAATAAAAAATAAAGTTCATAGAAGGCAAAATTGCCAGGTGCGCAGTGCACACATGAAGCACGTGCACTGATTAAGTCACGAGTTTTAGTTGTCCTCCCCGTGACAAAGACAAACTTTATTGTTCAACATTTTTATCATTAGTTTTCTAGAAATTGACCCTATTTCCTATTGTTTGGTCTAAGTATAGTTTGCTTACGGAGCTGATTAAATCGCTAGTAATAATTTCGGTTCACCGAACAATCTGTCACATTCATTTACTAATCATAGTCGGTTCACCGAACAATCAATACTGGTTATTATATTTTTGATAGTTATGAAAATAAAAACCACTAATCTTAGAGAGAGGAGGAGTGAGGTATATATATACTACGTGCAAATCCAAAAGGGTTTGTCACCAACTCAAAGGATTTATATAATTCAATGTGCCTTCTAGTTGATATAAGAGTATAAATGGCTGGTCTAATATAGGTCCCTACAATTTCTATTTTTCAGACATCAATCTATTAATTTTGAAATCCATGTATAAAATCGAAATTCAAATTAAAATGCCTCGTAAGATATAAAAGGTCATAGTACTTCTATATATTTATATTGTTTGCCACCAAACTTCATATAAGTCCACCCAAATTCAAATTAATACTTCCTCATTTATAGCATATCAATAACTCCCTTTTTTTTTGGGCATTCCCTCTAATCCCTAAAATTTCGACCAATAAAGAAAATTCTTAAATTTTCAAATAATAAAAAATCCCTCAACCTTCGTCCAAATAAAATATAATAGGTAAATTTTTATCAATACAATATAATGTACCTACAAATTTACTTATATATCTTGTATATATCCAATATGGGTAGGTAAATTATTTTCACAATATACCTATAAAATGTGACAGCTTTAATATACCTACAATAGGTAAATTACAAATTATATTATTGCATAATAGGAAATTATTAGGTAAATTATATCCAAAATGAATTTATAAAAGCTGGGTATATTATTTGAATAATTAGTAAAATCATACCGGTTAACATTATTTTTCATAAAAGAAATAATAGTTACGTCATTTTTTCAACATAAAATTATTTGTACACCATTATATTTATAAAACAATAATATAATAGATAATTAATCACGTATACTTCATAAATAAATAAATAAAAACATTTTTTATTATTAAATAAACCAATTATGTATGTTAAGTCTGACTTTATTGTTAATTTTTTTTATAAAAAAAACTAAATTAATTCCTACATTCATTTGAAGATCTTTCTAAATTCAATGCATGTCATTAGTTACAATCCAATTAAAAATGTTTCTATATTGGTTCCTACATTAATATACAAAATGCAATAATGGCTTAGTTGGGGGTATTTTAGGAATTAAAAAAAGTACAATAAATTCGATTTTGTGATTGATTAGGTAACTTGCCGAGTTGGATCATGGTCATCGGATTTTATTTAGAAAAAAAAAATAAAAATTATTCAAACGAAAATAAAAAGATGAGTTGTAGTTGAGAAAAAATGACTTTAAAGGGGTTAAGCTAAATTTACTAATTAAAAAATGGTTTGAGGTAAGGATATAGGTAGGTGTCAAAAAAACCCTCCAAAAATAAGTATGACCCCCATCATAATACTCTTTAGAGCAATGTATGAAAAGTTAGTGGGCTCTCAGACCACACCAAAAAAAAAAAAAAAAAAAAAAAAAAAAAAAATTAAAAAAAAAAAAATTAAAAAAAAAAAAACAAAAAAAACAAAAAAAAAAAAGTCCTTATGCTAAAAGATACTAATCCTTTTGGCCTTATCATGCTAAATATCAAAATATACTGTTGGCCCCTAATCGATTGTCCAATTGTGCTTTAACAGCAGATCCCCCTATCAACCGCACCGACTACTTATCTGATTGGCCCTTTCGCTTTTGATAAGCCGTTCAACTTTACTGCCATTTACTCATATCTTATCCATAAAAATAAATAAATAAAATTAATTACGGAAATACATAAAATTGGAAAATAAAAAGAAATAAACGAAAGAGAGAGAGAGAGAGAAAACAAAGCACGTGGTGGCTTCCTATATATACCCTTCCTCTACCCCCCTCACTCCTTCGTGAGCTGGCTCTGTTTCTTGTTTCGCTCAGATCACACTCCCTCTCTCTTCCTGTGTCTCTCTCGCTCCCTGAAAATCCATGGTCAAAAGCTCGCATTTAAACCCTAGTTTCCAGCAAGTGTGAAGAAATATAAGATTTGAATTATAGAAAAAAAGAAAAAAAATAGTCTAATTCATTTCTTCTCACTCTCGCGCCGCGCTCGATCGTTTTCTCTCTGTTTCTCGTACTTTCTCCGGGTTTCTCGAACTTTCTCCGAGCTTCTCGCGGTGTGCGGTTACAGAGCGCGCGAGAGAGAGGGGAGAGGCGTCGAGCATTTCAGCACCGTAGAGACTTGTGCTGTATGTCAGTAGACTGTGTAGAGACTTACTGTGGTGGAATTGGTGAGCTCGCGAACCCCTTGCAATGGCCTCAGCTTCGAAAAAAACGTCGTCTTCTTGTTGCTTCCACTCCGATTCGGCTCCCATTCCACGCGAGGCGGCGCCGGCTCCGAACGCCGTTGTTTCGGCCTCCGTGGTTCAAGATTGGACCGCCATCGCGGGTTCCGAGGATAGGCGCGATGATCAGCGCCCCAAGAAGATCGCGATGGCGTCCTTGATTCCCGAATCTTCCGCCAATGCATCCACCACTGGTATGTTTACATTTCTTATTTCGTAGTAATGATTCTTTAGCTAATTGCTTAACATACCCATGATATTTGGAAATTTTGAATTTCTAGTGATCAGTGTGATTGATATTCGCTTATATAAGTGGTTTTCTGTTTTATTTATTTTTTTCTTTAATGTTTGCAAGGCTGTTGATATGTCCTTTTCGTTTCTAAATTTGGTGAGACTCGTCTTTGTGGTATCCTTTTTATTAATTTGTCGTGTGCTGCTTGGAGCTAAGAATGCTGGAAATAAAACTACAAGAGAAAAAGTGAAATTTATATGAAAATACAGGGAATCAATGCTAGAGAAAGATAGAGTAAGACAACCGAATCTAAAGTGGAGAACAATCTAATTTCTTTTTAAAGTTTTAGTAGATTAATACGAAGTAGTCTAAATTTGAGTACTCTTTACAGAAAATAAATCAGTAAAGTAGGAACTTGTTTCAAGATCGTTAATTTCTTGAATGCTGGATATCTTTATTTAAATTGCAGACCATAATCAATTGGGAAAAGAAGGAAAATAAATCAGACCACAAGAATATCTGGATGTGATAGAAAATGTTTGATTTTGATGAGCTCCTTTGTTTTTCTATAATCTCTAAGCACAGCCTTAACTTTTATTTACTAAAATAAAATTTTCCTACACACTTTTCACACACAGATATAACTTCATAGAATTTCTAATGTAAACCTGAGGACTGTAGCATCTTATTGCAATAATTTTCCTCTTCAAAGAATAAATCGTATGCTGCCTGGTTTTTTGAAGTTCTTTTTTATACTGACAGTTTCTGTTTCACTTGGTTGGTCAACTAATGTGGTGTAGGCATCCCGATCATGCTTAGGCCTCAAACAAGGCATCCACTGGACCCTTTATCTGCTGCCGAAATCTCTGTGGCTGTGGCAACTGTCAGGGCTGCTGGAGCCACACCTGAGGTTGTTATTTTCACTGTTGACTTGTTTCTTTTTGCATTTTTAAAAAGATAAATAAAATTCTTATTTGGTTGAAGTGGTTGGCTAAGTAATATTTTCGGCATGCCAGGTTAGAGATAGTATGCGTTTTGTTGAAGTTGTTCTACTGGAACCAGATAAACACGTTGTAGGTTTAGCAGATGCGTACTTCTTCCCCCCTTTCCAACCATCATTGCTTCCCAGAACCAAAGGTGGACCTATAATCCCGACTAAGCTTCCCCCAAGGCGAGCTAGACTTGTTGTGTACAACAAAAAGTCTAATGAGACAAGCACATGGGTTGTTGAGCTGTCAGAAGTGCATGCAGCCACTCGAGGTGGACATCACAGAGGAAAAGTAATATCCTCACAAGTTGTTCCAGATGTTCAGCCTCCCATGGTATGCCTTTTCTGTGTTTCTTTTTATATATAAACTTGTTTGTACCTTTGTATGACCTGAGTTCTTTTGTTAATTAAAGATTACTACTTGATGTTCTTTAATTTGATTTTTTGGATTCTCAGCTATAGAAAAATACCGGGAATGAAAGAATAGATGTCAAATTTGTAGATTTTTTTTATTATTGATACAAGCATTGTTTGAGTTTCGGTAACTGGAATTTGCTAAAAGACTCACATGTATGCTAAATTTCATGTAGTTGAATAGTTCTATGATGTTTTGGCATTAAGTAATATCTTGTTTTCTGGAACTTCAGGATGCTGTGGAGTATGCTGAATGTGAAGCTGTTGTGAAAGACTTTCCTCCATTTAGAGAGGCTATGAAGAAGAGGGGTATTGAAGATATGGACCTCGTGATGGTTGATGCCTGGTATGTAATATACATTTAGTGCTCCAGTACAGGTAGAAAGTCATCTGGTTAATCAGTGAGTTATAATTTGGTGTACATATAAGCTGCAGGTGCGTTGGTTACCATAGTGATGCTGATGCTCCCAGTCAAAGACTTGCTAAACCACTTATATTCTGTAGAACTGAGAGTGACTGCCCAATGGAAAATGGTTATGCACGCCCAGTTGAGGGCATCTATGTACTTGTTGATATGCAAAACATGGTGGTGGTAGAGTTTGAAGACCGTAAGCTTGTTCCTCTACCTCCAGCTGATCCATTGAGGAACTATACTCCTGGTGAAACAAGAGGTGGTGTTGATCGAAGTGATGTGAAGCCTTTACAAATTCTTCAGCCTGAAGGTCCAAGCTTTCGTGTTAATGGGTACTTTGTGGAGTGGCAGAAGGTAAATTTTAAGTTGTTTTTCTTAACTCTTTATTTATTTTTATTAAATTCAGAATGTCAACTAAATATTCTGGTTGGCAGTGGAATTTTCGTATCGGATTCACTCCTAGGGAGGGATTGGTTATATATTCGGTGGCATATGTTGATGGCAGTAGAGGACGAAGGCCTGTAGCCCATAGGTTGAGTTTTGTGGAAATGGTGGTGCCATATGGCGATCCAAATGATCCGCATTACAGAAAAAATGCTTTTGATGCTGGGGAAGATGGCCTGGGTAAAAACGCACATTCTCTCAAGAAGGTTTGAGGACTAATTCTTGGCTCAGTTTTGCTATATAAATGTTTTCTTAGTGTCTTCCATTTTCCTGTATTTAATACTCCTTGCTGGCTGAAATTGAACTCCATTGCAGGGGTGTGATTGTTTGGGGTATATCAAATACTTTGATGCACATTTTACAAATTTCACCGGAGGTATTGAAACTATTGAAAATTGTGTATGCTTGCACGAAGAAGATCATGGAATTCTGTGGAAGCATCAGGACTGGAGAACAGGCTTAGCAGAAGTGCGCAGGTCAAGGCGGCTAACAGTGTCATTTATATGTACTGTGGCTAATTATGAGTATGGATTCTTCTGGCACTTTTATCAGGCAAGTTTCACACCATATTATTTGTTCGAATAATACCTTTCTTGTCCTTTTGGATAAGATCAAGTTAGTTTCTTGTCCTTTTGAGTTTCATTGAACTTGCCAAATATCCATTTTGAACTGGAAGACTGAAGAAAATCTCTATTGAATAATTAATTAGATTCCCTTTACTTATTTTATGAATCTTTGTCAACTGGATGCCAATATCATGCTGTTCACAGGATGGGAAGATTGAAGCTGAAGTTAAACTTACAGGAATACTCAGTTTAGGAGCACTGCAACCTGGAGAAGTTCGAAAATATGGTACTGTTATTGCACCAGGGTTATACGCACCAGTTCATCAACATTTTTTTGTTGCTCGTATGGATATGGCTGTTGATTGCAAACCTGGGGAAACTTACAATCAGGTATGCTACTTAAAAAGTCTTACAATCAAGTTTTCTGCTTTAGGCTTTAGTCTTTTTTTAATTTATTATTTTTTGGTCTTTTGTTTTCTTTGGCAAATGCGCTTTGGCCAAGTGCATGGAAAAGCACATTACAACTCTGAGTTTCAGTCCAACACATGGATGTTTGAATTTATGCTTTATTGTAAAGCATCTTATTCTGTCGAAACTCTGTATCCCTCCTCCAAACCTGAAAGTCTAGGATGTGAAGTAGGAAGATATGATCCATCTCCTGCTCTTATTGACTGCTTAATGTCTAGAACTACTCTCAAGAACATTTGGAGATTCTTATTTATAGGAATGGAGAATGAATAGAACTTCTTTCCTCGTTTTGGCTCCTGGTCATAACATTTTCTTACTCAACCCAAGTTAAGTTATTATTATATGTAGACTTAATCATTACTGATAGAACCAACATGTTTTTTCTTCCATATAACTTCTTTTTCCTTATTATTTATTGTAGGTTGTGGAGCTGGACGTAAAGGTTGAGAAACCTGGGGAGAATAATGTCCACAGCAATGCATTTTATGCTGAAGAGACACTTCTCAGGACTGAATTGCAAGCAATGCGTGACTGTAATCCTTTGACTGCTCGCCATTGGATTGTAAGGCATCCTTACCATGATTTTGCAACTGGTCCTGCTTAATGATTTTCTTCCTTGTTTAAGACATGAATGTGTGGTGTGATTCTTGTGTCCAGTCATGCTCATGCTGATTGAAATTTGTTTGTGGTCCAGGTAAGGAACACGCGAACTGTTAACAGGACTGGACAGTTAACAGGCTACAAGCTCGTACCTGGTTCAAACTGTTTGCCATTAGCCGGTTCTGAGGCCAAGTTTTTGCGAAGAGCAGCATTCTTGAAACATAACCTTTGGGTTACACCATATGCCCAAGATGAGATGTTTCCTGGAGGAGAGTTTCCAAACCAAAATCCACGTGTTGGTGAAGGATTGGCCACATGGGTTAAGAAGAACCGATCTCTGGAAGAAACTGATATTGTTCTTTGGTCGGTGTAATTCCTTCTCTCTTGGTTTTCCCATGTCGATATCAATAGTTTGCCTTTGTATATGTAACGGTTTAATATGGTAGAGGATAACAAGTAACCGTGATGATGATCGCAGGTATGTTTTTGGAATAACACATGTACCACGATTGGAAGACTGGCCTGTCATGCCGGTGGAGCGCATTGGGTTTATGCTCATGGTATTCATCGGGTTAACCTATTAACCCTTGCTAAGCAGTTCAATTTTAGCGTATGATTTGAAGCTGGCCATCAGTTTGTGATTTTTGGTTTGTTTGATGTTTGTGGTTGCAGCCTCATGGATTCTTCAACTGCTCTCCAGCGGTGGATGTTCCACCTAGTGCATGTGAATTGGAGGCCAAAGACAATGATGTAAAAGACAATGGGGTAGCCAAGCCAATTCCGAATGGCTTGCTAGCAGCAAAGCTTTGAAGCCAAAAAAAAATACTGTCATCTGTCTCTTCCAATACATTTCAATATTCCCACTTCCAATTTCAACTGGGCGCGCAGAAAACACGTAGCCTTTGTTTGGTCTTTTTTTGCTATTCAGACACGCTTTCTGTGAATCGAGCTAGATTTCTTCTTGTTTTTTTTGTTCATTTTTAAAATTGTTTTTCGATTTCATACTTTTTAATGAGACCCCTCCTTTATGCTTTGCAAGGGTTTCGCGGCAACTCACATTAAGCTTCTAACACGAAACATAAAAGAAAGAAGGCTCCATCTTCTTCATATACGACAATTCCACTTCACATTCACAATCATTGATCAAACTCATGAGATTCATGGCTGCCCCTGACAACTCTTCTCCATCGTTCATGACAACTCTTCTTCTCATTTTATTCTGTTCTGTTTTTGGGAGAAGTCTGACCACGAGACCTGGGTCTCGTCATGGTTCTGAAAGATGCATATGTTATCAAGGAATATGAAAAGAAAAATAAGTAAATTTCCTAATAGCCCAAAACAAAAACAATAAAACCTAAAGAATCAAAAGTATGAGATTTTGCCCATGAGTCAAAATGATTGAAGTGAAAAATGGGGATAACACTGTTTTGGGATCCCGGCCAATCACTATATAGCGTGATTGACCAGAGATAGTAAAATAGTGCTCCCCATTGCATACAAGTTTTTCTCCAATGATGGATATAGCCTTGTTACTGTCATGTCATTCAATGTGCAGCTGTGCCAGATTTTAAATGGCTGGCCACAGCTCTAAGAGATTTATCTTTGTTTTCTGTTTTTATGCAATGTTGTCCTGCAAATTGATTTTGGCCTGCGCAATATTTTTGCATTGTTGCCAATAGAAACACTCAAAAAGGGATGACCTTCTTATTTTTGGCACTCGTAACAGTCTAAGCCAAAGTCGTGAAAACTCCTCATTCCTATAACGTTACGTGCAAATTTTGTCTGGCCTTCTCTCACGAAATGTCGAAATATATATGATATGTATATTTCATTTCCCAAACGTGGAAGAGATTTCAAGTTTGAATTTCGATCTCGATCCTCTCTCATGTTGATCCCTTCCCTACTATGTGATGGCTACTTATATACAACACTCCCTCTCCCAACTCTCTCCTTAACACGTTATTAGTTAACACTACATATGGTGTTTTTATTATTATTCCAGAAGCTTCCGCCTATGCTCTAACTGCGGTGGATGTTCCACCTAGTCCTTGTGAATCATTGAATGCCAAGCCAACTCAGAGCGGGTTGTTACCAAAGCTTTGAAGAGGTGCGATCAAATGAGTTTGTTAGATGTGGGTTAGGATAGCTGGGTAAAGGCCGTATGTCTGTCTCTTTGCGTTCAAATTGGATTCTCATTTCCGTGTAATAGAGTAGTTTCAAATATCGTTTTGTTATAAATTAAAAAAAAAAAAAAAGAGGTTATTGATGTTTTCTAATGTCAATTTAAATGAAATTGTTATTTGCACTATATAACTACTTTTAAATTATGAATAATAACTCCCATTCCAAACCTTGCTTATTTTGAACAAACGAAATGCTGCACAATCACATGCCACACTACATTTTGTGGCTAGAAATGTGGAAATATGAGTCATCAAACAAACGACCAATAAATAATCAAAAACCCCCAAAATTATTATTTCATTCAATTTCGATTCCTTATCCACATCAACATATTATATTCTCCCATAAATAATAAATAAAATAAAAGATTTTTTTTTAATTTTTTTTAAAGAAAGAGGAAATTTTACCCCAATTTTAAAAGGCAAAAATAGATTCACATTCGCAAGCATCCATGGCGGCATGGGGTCTCGTCGATTATTCTTTTTCTGAAATTGTAGCCGCGTGGGCGTGGCCGGCACAGATCCTGAGACCCAGCAAAGACTGCAGTTTCTTGTCATCCTAGATTTTCTGCTTTTCTTCTGGTCGTCGTCGTGTCTCCTCCGTCTGCAAAAACAAGTCAGTCTTCCACTTTCATGGCTGCCTCGGAAAATGACGAAAAGAGCCTCCACCAGGAGCTCTCGCTTCCCATCCTACTCGCCGATCGGGTCATCAAATCGGCCCAAGAGGCCGAGTCCTCCAAGCTGGACTGCGCCGACCTCGCTAAGCAAGTCGACCGCCTCTCCCAGATGCTCCGATCCACCGTCCGAATCGCCGCCACCACTCAGTCCCTCTACGAGCGACCCGTCCGCCGAATTGTCGCTGACGTGGCGAAGAACCTCGACCGGGCTTTGACTCTGGTCCGGAAATGCAAGCACAGTGGGGTCCTCAGACAAGTCTTCTCCATAACCACCACTGCGGATTTCAGGAAAGTTTCGAACCTTCTGGAATCTTCCATTGGAGACATGAAGTGGCTTCTCTCCGTGTTCGAGTCCGACGGCGCCAACCTCTCCCTGCCTCCGATTGCCAGCAACGACCCAATTCTCAGCTGGGTCTGGTCTTACATAGCTACTATCCAAATGGGTCAACTCAGAGACCGAGTCGACGCGGCTAACTCGCTCGCTTCCCTGGCTCGGGACAACGACCGAAACAAGAAGATAATCGTCGATGAAGGTGGCCTGACGCCGCTGCTAAAGCTTTTGAAAGAAGGGTCTTCCCCTGACGCCCAAGTTGCGGCGGCCAATGCTCTGTTTCATATCGCTACTGATCTAGAAAGGGTCCGGATTATCATCGATTTAATGGGAATTTCGGTTGTTGTTTCGGTTTTGGGTGATTCGCCGATGCGGGTTCAGGCTTCCGTGGTGAAATTGGTGTCGGAAATGGCGGGGCTTGACCCGGTTGCGCAGGAGGAGTTTGGTAGGGAGAATGTGACGAGGCCTTTGGTGTCTTTGTTGTCCATGGATACGGTTCTGGATGATCCGAAGGTGCAAACGGGTAAGCCTAGCATTCATAATCTTGTGCAGATTAACAAAGAGTTAGCTGTAAAGGGTTCAAATCCCAATAGTCGTTCGTCGTCATTTTCGAGTCATTATCACTCAGATGGTAGTAGTAGAGGGGCGCATTATAGGAAAGAGAGGGACAGAGAGGCTGAGTCCCCTGAGGTGAAGCTTGAGCTCAAGGTTGGTTGTGCCGAGGCTTTGTGGAAATTGTGTAAAGAGTGCTTGTTGAATAGTAGAAAAGTTACTGAGACTAAAGGGTTGATTTGTTTGGCAAAGATTATTGAGACGGAAGTAGGGGAGTTGCAGCTGAACTGCTTGATGACTGTGATGGAAATAGCCGCAGTGGCTGAGTCCAATCCCGACCTTAGAAGAGCGGCCTTTAAGCCTACCTCTCCGGCTGCAAAGGCGGTTTTGGATCAGCTTTTGAGAGTGATTCAAGAAGAGAGTAGTCAAGAATTGCAAATTCCTGCCATTAAGGCAATTGGATCATTGGCAAGAACATTTCCTGCTAGGGAAACCCGAATCGTTGGTCCCTTGGTTGCCCGGCTTGGCAATGGGGATGTGGATGTGGCAACTGAGGCTGCTATTGCATTAGGGAAGTTTGTGAGTACGGACAATTTCAATTGTGTGGAGCATTCGAAGACGATTATTGAGTTTGATGGGGTTCCTTCTTTGATGAGATTGTTGCGGACCACTGATCGAATCAACGAACGGGGTCACGTCAACTGCTTAGTACTACTATGTTATCTAGCATTGCATGTTGGCAATAGCAAGGCTCTTGAACAAGCACGAGCATTGAATACACTTGAGGGGGGAGCTCGTTCAGTTGTAGCTCAGAATCCTGATTTGAGGGATTTGTTTGCCAAATCCATGCACAATCTCACTCTTTATCAGGCTGGAGCTCATCCCCACAGGCAAACCTACATACCCTAGATTGCCGTAGTTTTAGTCATGTGAGTTTATCCTGTATTTGTAACATAGAGAACAACAAATTGGTTCCTTGCCAACTAATGAAACCCAAAATTCAATGGTGTCGGAAATAGTTGTTTTGTAATATAGATTGATCGTCATTGCACTGTGTCAGCTGTTGTCTTTGACTAGATGAGTGGATGTTAAAGGTATCTTCATGTTTTAATAAAGCAGTGAATTTTTGTCTCTCCCTGTCTTCTAGCCCTTTGAATGCATGTTCATTTCTGATATCTCTAACATTCAGCACAATAGAAAATCCCCTTGCAGTAACATAATCTGATATACTCAGGTAGGCCCTCGTTTATGTGGAGCTTCTCAGTAAGTCATATACATAGGTAGGCCCTCGTTTATGTTCAACATGTTTTATGCTCTGTTGTCCGTGCAATTTTCCTATACCATTGTGCTATGTTAATCTATATTCCAGACATCATCTATGTTTGCTTTAGTTATTGGTGTATAATGTATTGCTTTCATTGGATTTCACTTAGGGTGAGGACCGTCCTATTTTCTTGCTCTGAAATCACTAATTTTTTGTTTCATTTTGTTGCGTCATATCTCAGTTTTCACGAGTATTTGTCAAATTTTTCTGCCTTGATTTGTTATTTTCAATTATTGGATTTTTCATCCAATAGGACCTCCTCTTTCTGATCATCCTTGGAAGGAACCTGATTTAACTGCCTAAGGGACAACTTGTTTGAGATAACTAAAGGTGCCTCCTTTGTCAAGGGCTAGTAGGGAACTTTAAGAATAGGAAGAGATGATGGTATTGTCTGGGCTTCATGTCTGGACTTCATGTCTGCAGTTAGTTTCGATGCTAGTATTGTCTTCCATCTGAGGCCGGCAGCTGGCTTTTTTCAGGCAGGCAGAGCAGACTGTTGATTACAATTGGTTTGATGCTGCAAACTGAAAACACAACCACACACATATCAATGTGGAGCTTTAACTTGAATGAATCAAAGGATGTTTCTGTAAGTCACAAGAGTGGAGGATATTGGGTTTTCAAGGATTGGAGAGAACATCAATACTCTTGTCAAGAATCTGCATATTTCATTTACAAATTGTGCTGCTCCTCAACTTTTAACGTTTTTCAATGTTCTATTTGTAGATTGTATATCTCCCAGTGAGGAATCTGCATAATTCTTCTATGCTCGAATATGTCATGAATCGAGTGAATGATCTTAGAACTTCGTCATGAGTGTATAGAACTGTTTTTTTTTTTGGCCAATTGGCTTGCTTTCTAAGATCCATAATCCATAAGGCTTGATAAAAGGAAACGGAACAAGATTAGATCAATTGTCTCCTGTTACTTCCTGACCAAGCGACATGTCAATTCCGCGGTATGAGAAAAGCCATGCACGCTTCAAACTGAATTTTTTTCAACTTTCTACACTTGCAGGAGAGCAGGAAGGTAAAACAATGAGTGTCAAAGCCATTAGCCTACCATTATAAACAAGACATGTCGTTTTTAATCAACAACATTAGTATAACAGCATATAATGTCCATAAGATTGCTCAAAACTGCATCTCAACGACGCATCGTTTCAGAACTCTTCCCCCAGCAATGGCTATCTAGCAGGCAGCAGTTTAATTAAAAATAACGAAAAGGACATGAATTCTAGTTGCAGCTGTTCCAGACTTGTACCTACCGACTTTGTCTAAAGTCTAAACTAAGCCATGCCAATTCCACAAAACCCAAATTCTAACTGAGAGGGACAGCTATTCTAACCAACCTCTAATGCAAGAGCAAACAATCATCAAGCATGACCTCAGTTGCTCCTTTGATTCAAACCACGAAAGAGGCAACCAATAGAGACATGAGACCACTTTCTCAGCCTCAGTCAGATATATAAATAATTGCAGCTTAATTATCTTTGATCACAAGCTATGTATCATTCATGAAGCTTTCAAATTAAGCAACCAAAAACACTTTATTATCTTCTCTAAGTTTCTTAGCTCTGTTTGCTGTCAATGTTTAAATGTCATTATTAGTACTTAGAGCCAAACTACAAATTATGCAGTATATGTATTACATACATACATAAACGGGACGTAATAGGGAGGAAAGCAAGGAGGGACATGACGTCTGCTGGGTTAATTTGTAACTTCATTTTAAAGATCAATCAATGTCCAATTAGTAATGTATTGCTGTATGCAAAACTGGCCAGACTGGCTTGGTCAGCAGACTACATTTTCAAACTTTTAAAATATTTTGCGCATCAAAATTCAAATATTGGTCCTTCAAAATCTTAAGTGGCTAGCTAGGCGCCATAATTTGTGCCAAAACAGGCCAATCAAGTAGTAGAAGCTCAAAAGAGATGGCTGGTGCACACTTTGCTCTCTGCCTTTATTTTTTTGTTTTTGCTCTGCAGAAATCAAACCATCTGAATGTTAACATGTTCCATGTGATATTGACTCAAAAACAAAACTTGTTGAAAGAAAAGCTCCGTTGTCGGTGCCGCTTTGTATTTTTGTTCTGTCTCAAAGAGCTCATTAGCTAAAAGGCTTACCAAGACCAGTCCAACTTTTCCAACACCCTTGTTTTGTTTGACCAAAATAAACCCTTTTCATCTTTACTTGGGAAGACCATCTTTTTTTTTAAATTTTTGGTTCATGCATTCAAATGTATTTGCTTTTGACCCCCCCTCTTGTCGGTTCACTTGAGCTTTGTGTTTTTTGCATGCAGATACATATAATTGTAATAAAAACCAGGCAGAGGTTAATTGTAATTTAATTTAATTGACTTCTTCTCTTAAGTCATTTGCTTTGATTAGTTAATCACAGACGTAAAAATTCATTAATCACAGATGTTGAAATCAGAAGTCTGAAGCAAGCAACTCAAAGCCATGAATTTTTTATGATAACTGATGTTTAGTTTGTATCAAATTTATTAACTGTCACCAATGAGTATGAGGGTGATCTTTATTTCTTTTTTTCCACGTTTTGAATTAAGGGAAGGTCCAGAGTCTGTTGGCGTGAAGACTTTGAACACGGTATGCTATAAATAGGTACTCTCAAAGTGGGTTTCATTTCCTATAAAACGATCTTACCTCTCTATAAAGCGAAATGAAAATGAGCTTAATTAACATGCATTTTAAGTAATTAAACACTAAATTTAGTTCCGATTTGGTGAATCGATCACTAAGCTATTTGTACTCAATCTATATGGTGATCATTTTCAGTGACCCACCAAAGGGTATATGATTGAGTACTAGTCATTCGGTGTGGTGTATGGATAAGAATTTTAGGGTCAAGGTATCTTTCGTACCCACAAAAATGATAGGAAAAAAGACTACATATAATTATGTGAGAAGGGCTCTTGAGCTCTACATTGTTTTGGCGACTGCCTTAAAGTATAATGTACCTGCAGGCATATATGTTTCAAAGTCAAAATTAGCCCATGCATGGGCTCCATGCATATGCACGACCTTGAAGCCATGGCCGGCGCTGACTAGCATCTTCCTAAAGTGACATAGTTCCCTTTGTGAGAGCCTCCCACTAGTACATCCGACACTACATGTTAATTGCACTCGCAGTTTGTCGTTCTGCAATTCAACGTCAATACTCTATTATTCGAAACCACGCAAAGAAAGAGAGCGCGGAATGACAAACTCTGCGTGTGAGAATAGCATTGCTACGAGCAATTTAGAGTTTTTTTTGTTTACTTTGGAAGACCCCTAACTCTCTTTCTCTAGATGTCTCTCCAATAATGCAAGAGAGGCCAGCCAAGATTAGCCTTTTGGAGGGATGCGACTGAATACATGAAGGGTCTGGAGCCCGCCATATATATTTGCTAGAAAATCAGCATCTCTGACGTACTCTCTCTCTCTCTCTCTCTCTCTCTCTCTCTCTCTCACATATATATATATATATATGTATGAGAGAGAGAGAGAGAGAGAGGCCCCAGAATAATCTTCTCAAAACTCTGCCAGCGGTTCAAGAAATATCACAATCTCAACCCAACCCCACACAGGGCCCTAACTATATTGTAATTAATTTACAAACATACACATAATTATGAATTTCCATATAATTTAATGTATATGTATGTATGTATACGTTCAATGCATACTTGTTAATACAGATTAAACATCAATAATGAGTTTTGTTTGGTCATGGGGTTAATAATGCAAATCAAGAATTAGTTTGTAGCTGCTAGCTGTTTGGTGCAGAGCAGCTTTGGCCTCTGCAAAAGCACTTAAGCAGGAAAATGACAGACATGAAAACAGCAATGTTATAATGATAATTAGTTTACCAACACCGCAAGATTAGGACCACAAAAACAACTAATTACACCCATCATATTATTTCAACCTTTTTTTTTTCTTCTGAAAAGAACAGAATACAGAATATGCTGCAAATTACAGTTTAACAACTTGGTAAAATCAACTAAAATATTTATTACACCTGGTCAAAAAAAAAAAGTGGAAAAAGAAAATCCCCAATATCCCAAACCTTTTTTTTTTTTTTTTGCATCAGTAGGAATTCCCCTGTTACTATCAACATCTATGTGTATTTGTTTAAAAACCCAAGAAGAAACCAAAAAATTAAAAATTAAAAATTGAATTTACAATCTCAGATATGCTGGAAGACATCAAAATTTGCACCTGTTAGATCTTCTGACAGCGACGTTAACGGATAGCTATTGAAATCTACAGAATTTTGAGCATGAAGAAGCTGCTGCCCTTGTTGCCATGAATCGGGTTTGATAAGCTCCTCTGATTTTATCCCATTGGCATGGAATTGAAACAAGGAGTCTAATTTGTTATCTGTGTCCCATGAAAAAGCTGCATTTTCGACTACGTTGTTGTTGTTGTTGCTGTTGTTCATATGGAACCCTGCTGCATAGCTGCTCACATTGGAGCTATTGCTTGAACATTCCTTCACCTCATTCATGAAAAATGAGCTCAGTCTTGAAGCTGAATTATCAGAAAAATCTGTCCCTGACATGCTCCCGTGGTCCGAATTCGCTAAGCTTGGCATTGAAGTGAACCCAAAATTTGAGCTTGTCTCATAAGTAGTATTGTGGGGTTGATTGAAATGGGGTCTAACATTGGTAGGGTGGTATTGATTGGAAACAAGATCTGAATTGTAGCCAGATGGCTCAATACCTGTTTGGAACTCAAAGTAAGGGAGAGAATCAAAGGCTCTTGAGGC